GTTTTAACAAAAGATTTAGTTCGCAGCTGACAGGTAGGTTTCCCCCACATCGACAAGGGTAAGAGTGAAGTATAGCACTTATAGCACTCTCCCATCTTCTACCCTTACAATCGCTACTTTGAAGATAAGCAGGAGCAACAAAATTTGGTAGAAACAATGACCTGTTCCCCTCCCCTGGCTCTTTGTAAACTTTGTAAAAGGTTTCCACCTGTAAAAATTCCAGGGAATAGTTAACCAAGAAGGTTAGTTAACGCTTATCTTAGTTTCTGTCTGCTGCTTCGCTAGTCCCCCACCTGCCCCCCTTAGCCAAATAGAATGTAGTTTTTGCCTTTATATTCTCCCTGTGAAGACTGTTTGGGGCCGTGAGTTTATTTAGGACAGGAGTCTGCTCGCAGTCACTGGCTAATAAATTTCCAAATGGTCAATTTGGTCTCTGTGTGAATTGATCTCTCGAAGGTCAGGTACAACAAGTGAAACAACTCCAAGTTCTAGAGTCATCAAATAATGTCACCAGAGACATATCAAGTTGGGGAAGCGGGGGCTAGAGCTTGACTAGGGTTTTTTCTTTACAAACTTAAAACTTTCACAAACCTTTTTACCCATTTTGAAATAACCATCATTAAAATAGCTCTGCTTCAATCTTGTAAAAATGTATCTCTATAGCTTATGCCTTCTGCTATTAAAACCACACAATTTATTCCCAACTTAATTTGAAATTTTAACTCTTAGAAACCTTAGTTTCCAATGAGAACCAAAAAAGTAAACAACCAGCATTCCTTAGATTGACTTTTAATACATTTTATTTTATTTTATTTTATTTTATTTATTTATTTTTAAACATATCTTTATTGATTTCAGAGAAAGGAAAGAGGAGGGACAGAGAGAGATAGAAACATTAATGATGAGAGAGTCTTTGGTCAAGCCCGCAACTGGGCATGTGCCCTGACCAGGAATTGAACCCCGATCGCCTGGATCCTAGGTTGCTGCTCGACCGCTGAGCCACACCCGCCAGGGCTATTAATACATTATAAACACACTCTCTTTCAAGAAACACACCTTCAACAAAGCACAAGACATTCATCGACAGGTTCAAATCCACTTTACAGACTTTCAGCAATAAAGTCAAAAGCAGGCGAACCCAAGACTTGTCCAGCAATCAATGTTTCAGTATTTCACGTTATTTCAAAATATCTATATATTCAATAGTTTTAATTAAAATTCACTAACTTAAGCCCTAGCTGGTTTGCTCAGTGGTTAGAGTGTTGGCCCGGCCCATGGACTTGAGTCCCAGGTTCGATTCCAGCCAAAGGGCACATACCTTGGTTGCAGGATTGATCCCCTGCCCTGGTGGGGGATTGTGTGGGAGGCAATCAACCGATGTTTCTCTTTCTCTCTCCCTTCTACTCTCTCTAAAAAGCAATGAAAAAAAAAAAATCCTTGAGTGATGATTAAAAAAAAAAATCACTAATTTAAGGAATGGCTGAAATAAGTTAGATTGTTCTGCTCAGATGACTAGAGTTTTTCCCCTTTTGATAAGAATCACCTTCCAAAAATTTGTACTTTATTTATTTATTTAAATATATCTTTATTGACTTCATAGAAAGGAAAGGAGAGGGATAGAGAGATAGAAACATCAATGATGAGAGTCATTGATCGGCTGCCTCCTGCACACCCCCGACGGGATTGAGCCCGCAACCCGGGCATATGCCCTGACTGGGAATCGAACCCCGATCCCCTGGATCCTGGGTCCATGCTTAACCGCTGAGCTACGCCTGGCCGGGCCAAAAATTTTCGTTTTAAAAAATGGCCCAGACAAGAGTTCTTGGTAAAGACCAGATATTTGCATTTCAAAGGTCCTGGGACTTTGGTTTCATAAAGCCAATTATCTTTAGGCTGCCAGAGCTGAATAGGGGAGGTTTGGGAAAAGGTAAAAGGATTTGGTGGGCTTGAATTGCTTCTGGAGCCACACCTCTGGCCCTGTGAGGACTTAATTTGTGAAACAAGGGCAGTTTTTAATGTCACAATAATTGGGTTCTCGCCCAAATGTTGGCAAAGAACTGACTAATTTATTCATCCATTTTTGGAATGTTTTTTCTATTTGGGCACTTTTTTCTAGTTTATAGGCAGCACATAGCTTAGGTGGCCAGAGAGTCATAAAGGCTTGGATATATGAGACCTCTGTCCATTTCCCTTGGGAATGGTAAAACAGGTCTAGCTGCAAGATAGTATTAAAATTAATGGTGCCTCTGCCCACCTGGGCATGGCTCATTGGTTGAGCATTGACCTAGGGTCCAGGAGATCTCAGTTCGATTCCCGGTTAGAGCACAAGTCCGGGGTTGTGGGCTCGATCCCCAGTCCAGGGAGTGCAGGAGGCAGCTGATCAATGACTCTCTCATCATTGATGTTTCTCTCTCTCTCTCTCCCTCTCCCTTCCTCTCTCTGAAGTCAATAAAGATATATTTTAAACAAAGAAATAAATAAAATAAAATAAATGGTGCCTCCCTGGCCAGTTTGGCTCAGTGGTTAGAGCGTCAGCCTGAGAACTGAAGGGTCCTGGGTTCGATTCCAGCCAAGGGCACGTATCTCATTTGCAGGCTCAATCCCCAGCCCTGATCAGGGCTTGTGAGGAAGGCAACCAGTTGATATGTCTCTCTCACATGGATGTTTCTCTCCCTGAAAAGAGCAATAGAAAAAATATCCTCAGGTGAGGATTAATAATAAATAATAAAATTAATGGTGCCATTGGCTGGCCAAATTTCTCCACTCCCCACTTTATATTTGTTAGGTGGGCCAGGTACAGAAACTAGAATACAGAAACTCACCAGGGCAGGAAGCCCCAGATGCCTAGCAAGGGGCAAACCTGGGAAAACAAGAACTTTGTCCCCAGGGTAACCTATCCTCCCCTAGCATATGAGGTTTAGACCCCTGAGCATTCCTCCCTAAAGATAACATCTAGGCCTCACTTGTATTTCAGCTCCAGGCCCAGATAAGCAGCAAAACCAGACAAGTGGTGCCCAGTGACTGACTCAGGACTAGATAATGACCCCCTGCCCTGGCACAAACCAATCAGTGGAGACCAGGACCCTGAAAGAGCACACCTGGAAAGCTGATGAATATTCTATTGAGACACTGTGGAGAACTTCCCTCAGATTCCTGCCTGCAAGAAACAGATCAATATGGTCAGGACAAAGGACCCAGAGCAACCTCCATCCCTCTGAGAATGCAAAAGGAGAGCAATGGGCAGCAGCTTGTCCTGGGATTACCCCTGGGCTGTATGCAAGGCCCCCTTCTCTCTCTTGGATTTCTCAGTGAGCCAAAGCAGCCCAGCCTAGGTTCTTTTATTGCTTTTTCTATGCTTTCTTTTTTATTCCTCACCTGAGGCTATTTTTTTCCATTGCTTTTTTTCACAGTGGAAGGGGGAGAGAAACATCAGTGTCAATTGGTTGCCTCCCTCACAGGCTGACCTGAGCTGGGGATGGAGCTTGCAACCCAAGCACATGCCCTGGGCTGGAATCAAACCAGGGACTCCTGTCTGTGGGATGATACCCTAACCACTGAGCAAAACTGGCTAGGGCTCTGTGCTTTCTTGTTTCACTGTCCCAAGTATATTTTTGCTGCCATCATGGACCCAATACCCTTTGGCTCAGTGCTGTGTAGCCCTTCCCTTTGGATATCCCCATCCCCTTTTAATAAATTTAATTAGTCTTTATTCACCCATTCGAGATGGCTATTTAGCCTGCCTGCGCACCATCTTAACCTTTCACTAACCACAGAGCCAAACTGGCTAGGCCCTTGCTAGTAATTTTAAGGTCATTATACAGCAGCTTTGGAAAGCTACTCTATGCTAGGATAGACTGTATAACAGTATTTTCTTAACTTAGTTCTGTAATGTCTTTAACTTATAAGGAATTTACATAGTTTGCATTTGAATTACTTCAATATACTTTACTTCCTTTTCTATTTGGCCCAAAGAAGCACTAATAGGTCTTGAATGTTGTCGCTGTGTTTTAGAAACCTGAAGTCAGTAAGACGAAACACAACATCAAGAATTAGAAGCAAGTAACTTGTGTGGAAGCAATGCAAAAAAGGAAACACTGGGTGGTTTGGCTACAGCATGATTAGTGCAGGGTGCATTAATTCTGATTTACAAAAATCTGAATTGTAACAAATTTTTTGATGTGCTATTTCAATTTTTAGTAGTAAATAAATGTGTGTATAAGGCATCTTATTAAAACTTGAGGCATATTTGAGCCCTTTAAAAAATAAAAACCCTGACACATCCTAAGTGTCAGCTGTGCTAATGCTGACTTTCTTAAATGGAGTATGATTCCAACTCCACCACTTACTGGCTGTGCAATTTGCGGTAATTTGACCCATTTCTGCCTCAGTTACATGACTTGAAAAGTAGAGAATACAGTAACTGGATTCCCTACTTCATAGGAGTATTGGATTAAATGGTTAAGATATGTAATGTGCTTAAAACCATGCTTGGCATATAGTAAAGCATTTGCTATTGTGATCCCCAGTGCCTTCTTCCCTTCATTTATCTTCAACGAGTGGTGCCTCACACCTGGGGAAGTCTTGGCATTCTATTATTGTCCTGGTAGAAGTCTTGTGTAAAACCAGGTGTCTCCCTACTCTAACTTCCAATTCACTCCCATTCCTAAGAACATCTATGTCTTCAGGAACCTCCTTGGCCACTTCTGACTTCTAGATGGCCAAGCTACCCGTGTTAATTTCCTTAGGCAAACATCTCAGCCCTCTAATATAGCATTTCCTGGGGCTGGAATATCAACAGGAAAGAGCTCTGCATACACACTCCTTCTGAGGAAGGGTTTGGTAAAGCCCTGTACAACACCCTGCAATCTTCACGTTATCACTGTTGCAGGACTCACCTAGAGGCAGGCAGCTGCTGATCCCTGACCCTGTTTCTTTTCTTTGGGTTCCTGAGCCGAGACCTACAGATATGACCCTATGTGAGAAAACCAGACAGGCAAAAATTTGCACTTAGCAGTTGGACTATTTATTGGCATTAAAAAAGCATTCTTTTAAACTAGGGGCGGGATCCTGAACACTAAAGTCTCACCTCATTTTATGAAAACTTAAGACCAAACTTTCCATGGTTGTACACAGCTTAATCACCAACAGGAGCAAGAATTCGAGTTAGGTGGAGGGTGGGAATGGGCGCTAAGTTCTTGCTTTCACACTACAATGTTAAAGGTACAAGAATCTAACAATTTCCAGAGCAGCACAAAACCGCTTCCCATTGTTTCAAGGCAGCCATTTAATTATCTATAGTCCAAGGGCTAAGTCAATTTCGTGGAAAGGCTGTGAGCGTGGTCTGCACCTGAGGAGTCAAGTTCTTAAGAACCGACGACTGCCTGACACACTCTTGGGGAAAAGCGCCTTTACAGAATCTCCAGTATCAAGTCTCAGCTTCCCAATCTATGAAATGCAGCACTGGCGAAGGCGGCAGGGAGGAGCTGGGGAGGAAAGACAGCTACGCTTCCAGATCGAAGTCATCTCGCTCCTCGTTGTAATCCAGCACGTGCCGTTTGATCTTGGACGAGTCAACCCAGGTGACAAAGTCCTCCATGCTGCGTGTGACAAGGAAGGCGGGGTCGGTGACGACGTCGGGGCCCACGCGCACGTGCCCCTGCTCCACGAAGGCCACGGCGGCCTGGAGGTGCTGCGCCATGCGCAGTTTAAGGAGCACAGTGGGCAGGCGGCGGCGGCAAAAGGACGAGGCCGTGACGGAGTCGCAGAGTTCGAGAGAGCTGCGCGTGGGCACAAGGCCCAGGGCATACAGCTTGTCCAGCAGAGCGGAGGAGGCGCGCACGCGAAACGGGTCGCGCTCCGGCAGGTCGCGCAGGCGCCGCGCCAGCTCGCGCACAGAACGGCTCAACTGGTTGTAGCGCGTGTAGTCCTCGCGCCGCTGCAACCGATAACGCCGCAACACGCGCAGTTCGTGCAGGTTTTGGTCAGTGACCTCCCAGTTCAGAAAGTCTACCTGTTTCAACAGCTTCTGCTCGTGGAACTTAAGCTTCCGCACCATGATGGCGGGTGCCAACTCTCTGGGACCCAAGGCTGAGTGAGTTCCGGGTTCTTTGCGACTTCCGCCTCCGCGCGCAAAGACCTGGCCGCCCTAGGGCAACTGGGCCAATGAAAGAGAGGCTCATGGCCACGCCCCTGATTCCCACTGGTCAGAATGGGCCACGCCCCCAAGTGTATATAGCTTTTCTTCTCTTCCCCTCACGCGAGAGCCGAGTGCCCGGGGC